TCCATTTCTCCATTGACCTCTCCTGCAGTCAGCCTGATCTCTGCTGGCCTGAACGGTTCTGGGGCTGAAGCTCTCACAATGGCAGCATAAGGCCCCTGTGACTCAGTGAACTCCACACCCTGACAGGAGCTCTCACACCTTTGCCGGGCATCTCTGGGCCCTTTCTTCTTGGTAAATTCTTTCTTACATTTCAATCCATACCTTTACTACTTACCATGCACAATACTGACTTCCTCTGAGACAATTCTGTGTACATGTCCTGTCTGCCAATTCTGTCCATATGTCCTGTCCACCAATTCTGTCCATATGTCCAGTCCTACTTTGCTATTGTTGATATGTTAAAGAACATGACCAAAAGCAACATGGGGAGGGAAGGGCTTATTTGGCTTACACATGCCAATATCAATCTATCACCCATGGGAGGTAAGACAGGAACTAAAGCAGAGGACATGGAAGAATGGCACTTTCTGGCTTGCTCCGCATGGCCTGTCCATTTTCTTATAACAACCAAGACGCTTGCCCAGGGCTACAGGACCCATGGCAAACTGGGTCCTCCCACATCAATCATTAATAAAAAAAAAATGCCTCCGCAGACATCCCTACAGGCAATGTAATGGAAGTATTTTCTCAGCTGAGGTTCCTCTTCCCAGATAACTCTACCTTATCTGACACCACCCAAAGCTAACTAGGACGCGTCTGATAAACCATTCTGGCCTCCTGTTGCCAGAGTTTCTCTCACTCCCTATTCTATTGTCTGACATATGACTGGCAATGGATTTCACACAAATAGATTTGACTCACTAAAGAGACTTCATGCAAAAAAAGTTTAAGTCCAAGAGGGTGGGAGAGTTCTTTAACCCTTATTTATATACTGTGTATTGCACAGTGACAACTTTCAGTCACAACAATTGGACATGCTGATTCAACATGGGATGCCCCGCTCACCCCTCTGAAGTGAAGAAACTGGTGTTTCGAAGTCCATGCCTGTGGGCTAGGGGACTGGGTCCATTGGTAGAGTGCGGAGCAAGGATGAGGACCTCATTTCCCCTCTCACCTGGATAATAACCATTAAAGGACAGTTTCAATGTTAGAAGGATGCTCACTGAATTCTCTTACTGCCTGTCATTTCTTGACATCCTGTCTTCCTTTTCCTCCACACACATGAGAATGGGAGGACAGTATCTCAGAGGATGCTGTCGTTACCAAGACAAGGGATTTGTGCATTAATGATGATATTTTACTGAAAAATGTAAGCATGGTGTCACTAGTAGGAAGTCATTTTTAAAATTTTGGACAAGCTTGCTGTATTGGCTTTAAGTTACCCTGTTTTATCCCTCATTGCACCTTTACCAAAGTTGGCATAATTGTTATTAATTATCCATAAACTCTTCAATTTCGATTCAGTCTCTCATGTCTGAATGCACACCATACTTTAGAGAGATTGCTTTTCTCTAGTTCCTGTCACACTCTTAGGGCCTGCCTTTTCTTCTGCCACTTGGGGACACTTAGCAGAAGATGCTGAGTGAGGCAAGCTGGTCCTGCTTGCACCTTGGCTTAGTGTAATGGGCTATAGCAGCTGCAGCTGGGACTTAACAGGGACCCTTCAGCTCCGCAGCCATGGCTGGGTAATGAGTCCTGAAAGTCAGGAGAAATCGCGTTGTTCACAACAGGCTGGGAGTTCTCCAGTCTTTCTGCAGGATTGTCACAGCTGCCTGCCACTCAAGGTGCTTCATAATGCTAACATTTTCTTCGTAAAGGTGCTTTCTTTGTCGTTCTCACCATGGTGGTCATATAGAGTATTAGTGAGCTCATTCATTACTTTTTAAAATATTTTATGTGTATAAGTGCTTTTCCTTGATGTGTATCTCTGTACCACATGTATGCCGGGTATCCACAGAGGGTCACCTGGACCTGGAGACCCAGATGGCCGTGAGCCATCCTGTGATGCCAAGAACAAGTCCTCTAGCAGAGCAGCCAGTACCTTTAACTGCTGGGCTACCTCGCCAGCTTCGGTCTTAGTACGGCTAATCATACATGCTTTATAAGTGTGTCAGGGTGCACAGCAATTTGATAGTTCATTTTCTTTATGTTTTACCCAATATTATGATAAAATCTCATACTTCTAAGAGCTCGACTCCACAGAAACAGTCATGATTGCCTCATTCAGAGCCAGCAGGTCCCTGTCAATGGGGAGAGGGGCACCTTCGGGCATCTCAGTGTTCTCTCTATCTTGACTCTCTTTATTTTGGCTATTAATGTGATTTAAAAAGAGGGTGAGAAATAGGGTAAAAGTAAAACAAGCCATTTTTACTAGCTTTAGCGTTCTATGTCCTGACAGCTGTCTTAACTTGGAAAGGTTTCCCACTAGTGGCGGAATTTAGCCTGTCATTTTACATTTACAAGTCCAGGCTGAGCTTCCTGACTTAGGGTATATTCCAGAGATGCCCTTTCATCCCTGTCCTCTATATCCTGTCACCCCATTGATGAGTTCTACAGTCACAGACAGACGTGACCAATCAGAGATTGAAAGAACCTTTCTTTAATTAATTTTTTTTTTACCGAACACACACAGACATTTTGTCAACATATCCTAATGCAACTATTTTTTTTTTTTTTTAGGTTTCATGGTGAACATACAGATGACTTGAAGTAAAGGGGGACCTGTGCCCAGGCTATATGCAAATACTACAGTGTCTCTGTGAATGACTTAGAAATGTGTGAAGTTTGCTATCTGTGGGGTTCTATAACCAATCGGCTAGAGATTCCGAGGAACACATATAAATGCAAGTATATAAGAATGGGAGACCAAAAGGTTGAATTATTCAAATTGCATGAGTTTTGAGAAGTGTTCTCCTTTGAAACTTCGTGTATATCTTGCCAATTAATGTGTTCTTGTTTTTCTGCCTTCACTAAATGCCTCTCTTCAGTTTGTGTTTGGGAAGAGGGCTCTGCATTTGTCTTCTCACATGGGTAGTTCTCCTCACCAAGCACATGATGAGACCCATGGCTACATTGTGTTTGAACCCAGATTTTGCATTACTGATTGTATAAATGACCCACGTTTGCATAAAGAGGGTGGGCAATGTGTAAATAAGAGCAAAGAGTAGGTAAAGTAAAACAGACACACTTCAAAAGTGTGTAACACAAAGGGAGTTATATATTTAATGCATAGAATGTCAGACAAATAAATACTAGATACAAAAGATGGATAATTCTGGATGGCCTCATATTTTCACTGAAGAACTATTTTAACGTCTTTTCAAATGCAATATAGCTTAGTTTTTTTTTATCATTTCTAGGGAAGCGTCTTTTGATGAGCTGGTTTGTTGGCCACAGGTCATCCCTGTGACAGGAAGTGATTCCCCAAGATATAAAGAAAGAGTCTGCCATCTTCCTTAAGGACAGGACAGCCTTGGATTCATCCTGTCTCACTGGAGGGCAGTGTCTGCAGAAGCAGCGTCACTGTCTGTGTGAGTCGGGTTTCTACTGCTTTTATGAACACCACGACGGAAAGGGTTTAGTTCAGCTTACAGCTCTTAGGTCAAACCCCATCCCATAGGAAAGTCAGCAGGGACTCAAGTCGGGAGCCTGGAGGCAAGAAATTAAGCAGAAACCATGGAGGAGCACTCTTTATAGGTGTGTTCCCCATGCTTTTCTCCGCTTGAATTCTCATGTGCTCCAGGACTCTCTGTCCAGAGGCAGCACTGGAGTAGACACTCCTACATCAGCCATTATTCTAGAAAACGTCCTACAGCCTTGCCTACAGGCCATTTCCAAAGCACTTTCTGAGTTCCTTCTTTCTAGATAAGTCTAGGTTTGTGTCACATTGACAAAAAACAAAAATAAAACAAAACAAAAAACAACAAAACAGTACTCTTTCCAACGAGAATTTGCAAGACTTGATAATGGGCTAGGAGTTGGAAACAATATTGGCAAAGGGGAGTGTTTTCTGCAGCAGCAGAAGGAGAGTTGGACATTTGTAACCTTTAAGGCCAGATGGCAGATCTTCAGTTAGCATGCTTTGGAAGGTGTGGGAGGCCCCTTACATCATCATCTGGTGGATAAAAGAGCAAAGTCTGCTATTTTCTGCACCTTATGGGAAACAATGGGAATCTGGTTGGACTGAGACCTTCGGAGCCCTGGAAAATGCAAGTGCCTTACCCTTGGGTGACTACAGTCTTTCTCTTCTGGGATTGTCCTTTGGGACCCAGCCCTGGATCCTCACCTGAACGTTGCCCCCCACCCCCGGGGTCTTTTCTACCCAACAGACTTTGATGGAGACATTTGGACTTTCAGTTACTTTCACACAGTGGAAACTGAGTTTCTCCACAAAGGTTTGGGTTCTCTGCATTTGTTAGAAGAGGCAAGAACTTCATGACTGGAGATTAAGGTAAGAAAGAGTTGCTGTTCTGCCCAGCAGGGGGTCTGGGTGAGGAGATTCTTCGCAGTAATCATAGGCAATAATGTTAGTGCCTGTAAGGTATGTTAGTGCCTGTAAGGTACAGTCCACTTGCAGCCTGCCTTGCTAAGCAGACAGAAGGACAGAGACTTTCTATTTATACATCTTAAACCACTAGTTCTACATGACCAGTTTGATTCTGACTAGATTATTTTGCAACTTTATTGGATCCTGAATAAATAAAATTCAATACTACCACGATTAGTCCCCTTGCCTAAAAAGGGTCTGGTCCTGTGAACTATGAAGACACGAAATTCCAAACACATTGTGCATTCACTCCCAATGGTCTCATTAACTCTGGTCACTGCATGGGCGCTCTTATCTGTTAATGGACCAGAGCTAAATGATGGGCTGCCCGCCTGCCCGCCTGCCCGCCTGCCGGCCCGCTGCATCGCTGAGGGAGGGAGCAAAGCGGTGTGCAGCTGGGGAAGTTGGAATTGTTCAGAGCCGGCTGCGCAGCCGTGGGGGCCTTGGCTAGCTCTGAGGGGGTGGGGAGGGGGATGAGATCTCTCTGGCGGGGCGGGGTGGGGGAGGGGGACAACTAGCCCAGCTGCTCTCAATCTGCCGGTGGCTTCCGCCCCTTCATGGCTGCATCCCACCCAGCCGAGCCTCCTCCAGTTGTGGGAGCCCCGCACTGAGCAGCGCGGACGTGGACCCATTAAGGCAGAACAACCCCAGGAACTAGAGTGGCACCTGGGAGTCTGACAAGGACTTGGGAGAGGTCGCCTGTCAGGGATCGGGAGGTGAGCTTGGGGCTCTCAGAGCACAGTGGTTCGATTGTTGCTCTCAGTCTTACTGCATCTGGGTGGCGGGGCTCTCATAGTTGCAAAGGCACACAGGCAGGGTGGACAGTGCCTGAGGGAACGTGCACCCTCAGGGTTCCTGGAACGTGCAAATGCTCTCAGTTTATCAGTGTGAGTGTGTGTTTCTGTGTGTGTGTGTGTGTGTGTGTGTGTGTGTGTGAGAGAGAGAGAGAGAGAGAGAGAGAGAGAGAGAGAGAGAGAGAGAGATTAAGGAGTTTTGAAGGGGGGTGCCACCAAGAGGCCAATCCTCCAGGCCCCTTCCTCTGGATGAGCGCCCACAGACTGAGACTGAGTTGAGGGGCTGCGAGCTCCCGCCTGCCAGCCCTGCCTGCCTCCCCTGCACAGGCAAAGTTTGTCTCTCTGGGATCAGTCTGTCCTCTGCTCCCGCAGCCCCGCAGATATCACTGCTCCTCCCTTTCCAGCTGCAGCCCTCACATGGAGTCCCCGGTCCAGATCTTCCGCGGGGAGCCAGGCCCCACCTGCACCCCAAGTGCTTGCCTACTCCCCAACAGCAGTGCTTGGTTCCCGAACTGGGTAGAATCAGACAGGAACGGCAGCATGGACTCAGAAGAGCAGCAACTGGAGACGGCGCACGTTTCCCCTGCCATCCCTGTCATCATCACCGCTGTCTATTCAGTGGTGTTCGTGGTGGGTTTGGTGGGCAACTCGCTGGTCATGTTTGTCATCATTCGGTGAGTGCAGGGACAGGGTGTGGTGGTGGCAGGGGTGGGGAGGGGAGTTGACAATGTGTATGTGTGTAGGAGTGAGCCAGCCAGGTGTGAGATCTCTTCTGTGCAGGGTTCTGGAGACTCTCCAAGGTGACATCTTACAAGAATTTCCTGGGAGAGTTTATACGAAACTGTGGGGTTCACACAGGGCAAACCCAAGGTACCTTTAGGATTTAAGAGCTGCTTGCCTGTCAAAGCAGAGGCTCCAACCTCTGCTGAGAGAGTGCTGTGGGAAAGTGCCAGGGTTCCGATGACAAGGTCATCCCCTGGTAAAGATAAGAGAACATCTATGCAAGTCTTTGCTTGCTTACCTACTTTGGATCGAAGCACTTTACTGCCCTGTGTAAATATTTCTTTAAATAAATTCCAGGCCCACCAAACGCAGTGGAGATAATTCAGAATTTTTGTGACTCATCAGACTGGTGTTGTGGCTTATCAAATGAAAACCAATATTCTGCTTAGTGACTATCCACTAGCAAGATTTCACAGTGCCCAGGAACAAACACAATAAGTGTGCTAAGCAAGTATCCTACTTCTGAGCTGTTTGTTTAGCCCTTGGCTTTTTGACACAAGTTCTTTCTGCGGGCTTTGAATTCATTCTGTAGTTCAGGCTGGTCTCAAATTCCCATCTTCCTGCCTCCAAAAACCTGAGTGCTAGGATCATAGCCCTGGGCCATGATACTCAGTTCATAGAACCCCCCATTTCCCCCTCTGCATCCCTACATCCTCTGAGCTTTGGCTGCTTCGTAGATGACTTTTCTTCTGTTTCCTAAGTGATCAAATCCTCCGTGGCCTCATAGATCTCTTCTGCCCTCCTGGAATATTCTCCTTATAAACAGAGAGACAGAACCAGTGGTATATGTGTATGATAAAAGAATGCACACAAGGAATTGGTTTATTTGATTGTGAGGCAAGCAGGGCACCTGACATCTGTATTGCAGGAAGCCAGAAGGGCTAGAAGATATGCCCGGGTAGAAATTCTTCCTTGGTGAGCCTCAGTTATACTCTTAGTGCTGCCTCTGATTCAGCCGCCTGCCCTTGTGCTCATTATTGCTACCCCTATTTAAGATCAACTAAGATCTCCTACAAAAACCCTTCACAGTAACACCCAGATGAAGAAGTTTGAAGAAATAAAAATGTATGAAGACCTAGCAGCCACCATCTGGCTGAGAACCATTAAACCTACTGACACCCCACCCCCATGGCTTCATTCTTTTTTTTCCTTCCTTTCTTCCTTCCTTCCTTCCTTCCTTCCTTCCTTCCTCCCTCCCTTTCTCCCTTCCTTTCTTTCTTTTTGTGGCCAGGATCATCACGAATGTGATGATAAACCCCAAAACACTCTCTCTCTCTCTCTTTCTCTCTCTCTCTCTCTCTCTCTCTCTCTCTCTCTCTCTCTCATGCTCTCTCTTTCTCTTACTCTCCCCACAGTTATCCAGCCTTACTAAAAGACTCCCCCCTCCCCCCTCATTCTTGAAGGCTACCCGATGATCCATCATGCACTTCTGAATTTCTAGACCTGCCTGGATTATTCTGAAAGGACTACCACTACAAAGCGCTACACTAGGTGGCTTCCAGAACAGAATCTTTTGTCTCACAGTTTAGATGCAGAAAACCCAAGGTTAAAGTGTACTAGGTCAGTATTTTCTGGAATCTCTTTTTGACATGTCATCGCTCTTTACATCTGTCATCTCCAAGTGCTCAAATGGACTTTTTTTTCTGCATGTGACTATGTCCTAACCTCTAATAAAGACTTCAGCCATATGAGCCGACATGTGGTCTCACTGGATCTTAATGACTTCTCTGATGGTCATGTCTTCAGTCACATTCTGATGTGCCAGCGATTAGGACACCAAAATATTAAGCTCAGCCTGCGACTCTAACCCATCCCTTTTCATTCTTCTAGAGCACTTCCTTCCAGTTTCAAATTCTGCATGATTTACTTTTATAATCTAATTGGTCAAAAATTCACTCTTATGAAGGTACATTTCTTTGTCAATTAATTTAAAGGATAAACAAAGAACTTTTACAGAGAAAAACAAAGCAAAAATGAGAAATTCTTCAGGTCTTGGTGACAGGCTGAGGCTTTTCCTTTTACCAGGTTTCAGGAATTTGCAGCCAGGGCTTGGCTCATTCCCAGACTTGCTCTGGAGTAGAGGACATTTGCTTCTTTGGAGCTCAGCATCACTGTGTTAAAAGCTCCCCAAAAGAGTCCTCTTGAAAGAGACTTAAAGGTAACTATGGAAGGACTACTGCTATGGAAAAGGCTACATTTCCCAAGCTCAAATTTATTGATCCACACAAAATTCCTGAGCACGGATCTTGATTGTCATGAAGAAACCAATTTACTCACCTACAAATAAGAGGAAAAGTTTACTTTTCCTTAAGCCACGACGCAGAAATTCTATAGTTCACTCTGGTTACGTCATCTTAAGTTTGGGACAGATACTGGCTTATTTAGATTATCTCTGAGCCAGTCTAGCCTAAATGACCAAACTGTGTGGCTGAACTGAATAAGTGTGGGAAGGATTGCGATGACCCAGCTGGAGAGTCTTCAGTAGCAATGCGTCTTCCATGTCAGTTCTTTCACCCCCTCCACAGAGTCCCAGCAATCCCTGCACTAGATGTCCTTGTCTTCCAGAGTCTCACGGGTATCAGCTTGGCTTCCTTCTACATATTGCAGACCACTGCAGAGGAGCATAAAGAGAGCTGGTGGACAGCGTGGCTTGTCACATCCCATGCACCACTGCTTCCTCCTGCAGCTTTATCCTGCGAAACCAACATTAACATTTCCTGTTATGCGAGAAGAGCAAAAGCAACCTCGGAAATTAAGAACCCATCTTTTTTTTTTCTCCCTTCAATTATTTTGTACATGTTTAAAAATCTCTCAAAAGAGAGCTAGTTTCATGGCAGCTGCTTGTGTGGATTAGTTAAAACTATTTTCTCTCAGTGGAGTATGTGAGCTCAATGAAGTATGGATCCTGCACAGCCATTTCAGGACAGAATCTAAACAGCCACAGTAAGATAAAGAGGATGGGGAACGGAGGGAGGAAGGGAGGAAGGGAGGAAGGGAGGAAAGAAGTCAGCCGGGCTGGGATCATAACCCTGCAATCCCAGCTACCTGATAGGTTGAAACAGGAGAAATGTGAGCTCAAGGCCTGTTTGGACAACTTAGTGAGGATAAAATAAATCTCAAAATAAAAACTAAAACACAGAGCTGGAGAAATGCCTCTGTTTGGGCACTTAGTGAGCACACATAGGGCCTCGGCACCATAGAAAAGAAAGACAGAAACGTGCTGAGGAGCTCTTCCCAAGTGAGCAGCCCACAGACAAAGCCTTCTAACTGCTCCCACATTGCATTCTCCTGACTCTACTTTCTTTCCTGGCATCTGTCTTGGGGCTGGTTTCAGGCTAGTTTGTGTCTTCCTGGGAGGGAGGAATTCTCTCTATTAGCTATTGAAACGCATCCTCAGTGGCAGTATCTTCCTAGGAACTGTGTGGGTGGCACCTCCTTCACCCTAGCTTGACTTCTGGATTCAGGCAGACTTGGTTGCCCTTGGAGGCTCTGTGCTTGGCTACCAATCTACAGTTCTGTGGCTGTGAGACAGCTGCCCTTCTAGGATAGGAGGGATTTCAGTGGGATAAGTAATATAGACTTAGGATTGTATCAAGAGCTTTGAAGGTAACAATTACTTGTGCTTCACCTTCTCTTTATAAGGGCATGCCAGTTTATGTCATAGATAAAGAAAATTTGTAGAAAAAAATAGTTGGTGGTAGTCTTTGTTTTTGAGACTGTCTCTAAATTCTCCACACTCCCCTCAAACTATCTGCTTACTTCAGCCAAGCAAGGACTGAAGTAGCAGCCATGTACTACCAAACCTCAAATGGATTTGAAGAATGGAGTTAATGCTGCAAAACTCTTGTGGGCTATTGTTTGTTCATCTATGTGACACTTACTATCCAAAATTTTCATAAGGTCAGAATTTTCATAAGAGACTTAAATCTTTGCTTATGTCAACTCTTCAGACTTCTGTATGAAGCCAGAGAAATAATTTTAAATATATGCCTTTTGGTACCCAGATGGCTGTGCCTGACTGCACATGCTAGAATTGTGACAACGCCAAGAGGAAGGGATGAGCTCTTCCCAGCCACTGACTACTCCAGTGAAATTGCTTCTTGCGCATTCCCCATCCTCCTTAAGGGGCCACAGTCCTGCTGGGACAGCCTGCCCAGTTGTGATGCCTGCCTTAGGATTGTCGCTGTACTGGGTGGCCTGTGTGCCCAGGTGTGATGCTTGTCCTAGGGTTGCTCTTGTACTTGGTTACCTGTGTGGTTACCTGAGCAAGTACACCATCTTGTGTTCCTGTTTCATCCTCCTATGCTGGCTCTGTGCACAAGGGTGAACAATGGAAACACCATGGCTCCTATGGGAATGAGGTTCCACAGAGGGACTGTGGACTGAGGCAATGTCAGACCCAGCTCAGAGGCAAGGACCATATTTCCTTTCTTTTCAGAAATGAACAAACTACTACTGCCTCTTAGTAAGCAACCATGATTTCAATATCAAGTAATCTAGAAGGATGTTTAACAAATTAATTTTATTGAGATGGACTGAAGATATCCGGAGAATTTAATGAAGCAAACTCATTATGTTTTCAAGTCATTCAACTGAGAAGTCAGATCAGGACAATCTTCATTCCTAATCATTTTAATTTTATTTAATATCTTAAAAGAGACTTTCCTAAACTAATAGTTGAGTTCACAGAAAACTTGAAAGAAAGGCATCGATTTTCTACATACCCTGACCCTCACATGCAATCTTTCCACCATCAGTGTCCTGCCCCAACCAGAACGAGACAACTGATCTACCTGCGCAGACTCAGGATTGCTACCCAGACTCCATAGTTTGCACTGGGTTTGTTTCACCCTATCAGCTTCCATTGAGGTCTAATTGACGACTGAAAATGACTTGTGTTGAAGGTGTGGTTAGGTCATTTGTACTTAAAGTTCATTTTAAAACGCCACTTAAAAGCCTGAGTGTTGAAGATGTTGTCATACACTTAAAGTGCTGCTCAGAGGCGGTGGGATGTTTAAGAGGTATGGCACAATGTAAGAAAGTGAGGTTGCAGGACCTTGAAGGAGAGATTGTGCGATGCATACATGAGCTCTTGCTCTCTCTCCCCTCTCCCCCATTGAGGTAATAGGCCTCCTCTATCATGACATACTGAGCCATCATGACCGTCTCCAAACAAATGCCAAGACAAGCTTTCCTCATTACAGATTGATTACCTCCGGTATTTTGTTACTGTGACAGAAAACTAACATTGTTTAAGACATGCATGTACTGTGAAATGTTTAATATAAACACCTACATTACCACACAGAGTTGCTTCTCTGAGAGTGCCAGTTATAGGAGGCACACTTAAAAATTCTCAGATCCACACTATAGTAAGTAATTATAGACATCATGTATACATTTTTTTCCTCCAGAGTGAATTCATCTTGTAACAGAGGATTTGTATCTTTGACCAGTGTCTCCTCATTTACCCACCCTTTTATATCACAAGCACAGAAGCTAGCATGTTTTGCAACCTGGAAAACATACCCAACATAGTGAATACATCATTCTTGTTGGCAATGCAAAAGAAAACCCACCCACCACTTGGTTGCCTCTTGTCATATTGGTCTCCTACTGCTTGCTCAAAAGGACCGTGTTTCCCTGAGGCTGCCCAGCTTTCCTCCTACTGAGTCTGAATGTGGGCAGTGCCAGTGTTGGAAGATAGATGCCAGATCCATGGGTTTAGTGGAGTTGGACTTTTCATTACGTTGGTAGCAAAGTTTGGGTTTCTACTATGTCACTGGCTTTCACTGTAGAACAAGTTACCCATTCCTTTGAATTCATTCGTTGTCACCCTCCACCTCCACGTCACTACAGTTGGCTCTTCACGTCTGTGGATTCTGTCTTTGTAGATTCAACCAAATGTCCTTAGGCCTGTCTTGGTTTGTGTCTGTACCAAATCCGTGCCATTTAACAAACTAACAGAAACAACAACACCCTCTCAAACACTGAGTGTAACTACTATTTACATTGTGTTTGTGAACACACAAAGGGAAAGAAGCGAGAAACCAGGAAAATCTGCACGGATTGGTAAGAGAGAGAACCTGATGGGAACTTGAGCTTACCAGGTGACAAGGATACAGAGATATGTTTGGTATCCAGTATCCTTTGCAGGAGGTAGTGAGGCTTTAGGAGATAGGCTTTCTAGGGAATGATGGAAGACCAAATGGGTGGGAACAGTGGTGTTGGGCCAGTGGATACCTACGACCCATAAGAACAAAACTCTTTTATGCACTTACTAGTGACTTACCAAGTGGGAGATGGTGCTTTAGGAGTTGCATGTGAGCTGGCAAAGTTGTGGTGATGGTTAAATCACACACACACACACACACACACACACACACACACACACAGAGTCACACAGCAGGGCCTGTCCCATGATAAGTGCTTAGGGGATGGTGGCTGCTACCATCATCACCAAGGCAGCTGCTGCTCTTCTTGTTAATTGTAATAACCTCCCATGGCCCTGCCCTAACGACCTAGTATAGTCCTGTGTTTCTTGAGGACTCTAGGAACCCATGTCTACTGGGTAAAGAACCTCTGCCCTCTTCTTGGTCTGTCTTTCTCGTTCTGTCCAGTGTACAGTATTGTGACTCAGGGTTGTAGCTCTGTGGAGATTAGCGAGGAGAAACCCCCATGTTTGCCTTTTTGTGCCATATGCTCCTTTGATGTGGATGCTAAGAAGGGCAACCATTTGCAGTTAACCCACCTTCCGCTTCTGCACACAAGCCTAAACTTCCCACCTTGATGGTGACATTTTACTTTAAATGCTTGCAAATTTCTGTAAAGCATTACGGTTGAAATGGAGAACAATCATATTCTATTTCAAGAAAAAAAACCCATGTCTTCTCTTCAGTGGACATAAAATGAATTAAAAGACTGGCTAACATTTTGTTGTAGTTAATTATAAACAGCTCCTGGGGGCTCTGCCAGAATCTCTGATTGTAGAGGTCTTGATTTCCACTGACATGTTCATGGAATCCAGCACAGCGTACTTCCTCGAAGACTGTTAATTCTATTGAATTTCTGGCTCATTCTTTCATTTGGTTCTGCTTGTGAGCTCTCTGTCCCATCAGTGTGGCAGGTTTCTAAGCACCTGTCTGCAGGCTGGAGCCCTGCCCTGTTCTTCAAAGCAAGGTCTGTCTCTGTGCTGCACAGATCACTCAAGACCACATGTCTTCAGTTAGAGATGTGAAAAGGCATAAATCTCCAAGGCAGTTTGAAGGGCAGGGGTGAGAATCAAGGAAGACAAACGGAAGTCAGAACAATAGATTTTTGAAAGTTATTTGGGAACAGGAATGACAGATGTAGGAATACATAACTTGATTTCTAACTCTTGGATTGAAGTTTCTGCACTTTAATTTGTATTTATATCACTTGAAGATATTTAAAAGAGAATTACATGATTCTTAGTTGCCTCATTTGTAGAACAGCAATATTAGGGTCTACCACATGGAGTTACTGAGAGGCCTAAGCGAGATAAAGTCTACATTCTGGATGGAAAGCTTTTTGAAATGAGTCCTCACTGTGCTTGCTGTCTGTGCTCAGTTCTTTTTTTCTGAACTCTGATGACATGACGTGGAATCTTTCTAAATTCAGATCTTATACAGTTTTATGCATCTATTGCTTATAAATATTTTGAAAAGCTAAAAACCAGATTTCACCCAACATTTTACGATGACTTTGAATCCATATCTTCTTTCATTTTAGTATTCTTATACTTGTGTTTTTCTATGTCAGAGCTCAAGTTTCATTTGCCCACCATCTTTGTGTTCAAACTAAATTGGATAAAGTGGGCATGAGCGTTATCTGGAAGCTACATCCAGCTTTGCTTTCTGGGTTTGCTATTAGATTCACCCCAAATACAAAAAGGAGGGGAGGAAGGGTTGGGGCACAGGATATAAATCAGACACAATTGCTAAGGAAAGGGAGAAATACATTTTGCCCCAGGCCCCAAAGTTACCTTTGGAATACTGTGCAGTGAGTGTGTATATTATATACAAGGAAACTGAGGCTTATCTATTAGGTCCTTGCTATTCTCTGGACCTTGAACTTTGCCCAATGACCTGTGTGTTGAATACCCTTAATGTATGCAGGGTAGTGGGTGGTCTTTGAACTTTTGTAGGTGTGCCCTTAAATGGGATTTCATGTTCCTCTTCATATTCTTTGCTACTGGTAAAACGAATGGCTCAGCTCTGCTGTGCTCTGTTGTGCTCTGCTGTGCTCTGCTGTGCTCTACTGTGCTCTGCTGTGCTCTGCTGTGCTCTGCTGTGCTCTACTGTGCTCTGCTGTGCTCTGCTGTGCTCTTCTGTGCTCTGCTGTGCTCTGTTGTGCTCTACTGTGCTCTACTGTGCTCTGCTGTGCTCTGCTGTGCTCTTCTGTGCTCTGCTCTGCTCTGCTGTGCTCTGCTGTGCTGTGCTCTGCTCTGCTCTGCTGTGCTCTGCTCTGCTCTGCTCTGCTGTGCTCTGCTGTGCTCTGCTGTGCTCTGCTCTGCTCTGCTGTGCTCTGCTGTGCATGCCTGCCCAGATGTGCCGCCTTACCACTGACCTGTAGCTACAGGAGCAGCAAGACATGGTATAGAACCTCCAAGAAAGGGAACAGAATTAACCCTTTCTACAGACAAGTTGAATAGCTCAGGTATTTTTCATCACTGAGGTTCAAAACTGACTAATTACCCCTAATGAAGTCTGTCTGTTGACTGGAAGGGAGAAAACTGAAGATCATGACCCTGGTATGTCTAATTATATAAAGCAAAGTATGGCAGTATATGTTAATGAAAACACAGGAACTTCAGAGACTCCAAAAACAAGAGTAGATACCAAAGCTACACCAGCTGAAACTTCTAATAATATCAGAGATTTTTCTTCGGGGAACTTGAAGGACTATGTAGTCTAGTCTGTCTGTGTATTCATCTATTTATTGATCTGTACTTTCTTCATTCTCTTTTTTTATTTAAATGTTTTGAGCAAAGCACTAAGACAAAACTTTAATCAAACCTTTTACAATCTGCGCACGCAATGACTGCAAGGGAACAAGTAATTGCATAGCGAAATTAATCATTCAGTGGCTGCCACTAACATTCACCCTCTGGGTTTAAGTTGCAGAGCTGGAAGGAACTGACACTTTTTTCTTATCATTTAGATACACGAAGATGAAGACAGCAACCAACATATACATTTTTAACCTGGCTTTGGCAGATGCTTTGGTTACCACCACCATGCCCTTCCAGAGTGCTGTCTACTTGATGAATTCCTGGCCTTTTGGGGACGTTCTGTGCAAAATTGTAATTTCCATAGACTACTACAACATGTTCACCAGCATATTTACCTTGACCATGATGAGTGTGGATCGCTACATTGCTGTGTGTCACCCCGTGAAAGCCTTGGATTTCCGCACACCTTTGAAAGCAAAAATCATCAACATCTGCATTTGGCTTCTGTCCTCATCTGTTGGCATATCAGCGATCGTCCTGGGAGGCACCAAAGTCAGGGAAGGTAACATCTATTGCTTTCATCCCACTTATAAAAATAGAATTTTTGATTAGATAAACTTTTTTTTTAACTTTGGGAACTAGTGGAACACATATCTATCGGGAAACAAGCAAACAAAAAGTAATGTACAATTTATAAATCCATGGAGGATTAGAAACAGAATTTTTTTTTCTTTTCACCTCCAAACCTGGAGTGGGGCAATGACAGTGCCAGAGCATAGACACCCAGAAGTCGCAGATCTTTAAAGCACTTGGTGATTCTAGAGAAACTGTAAATCCAGGGAGGGAAAACTATATATGCTGGCTACCTTTTTATTTCTTTTCTTCCCTTACTTTCCACAGAAGCTTTTGTGACACTGGGATTTACAGTACCATTCTACAAAACATACTTTGGAAACGAGTAGCTCAGACATTCGTATTTTAACTAATAATGTGGCAAACCAACCAGAAAGTGAGTGTGAAAATCCTGACGCGATTTCTGTTGGTCATAAGAAGAAAAGTGTGTGCACACAAGGCCTTCTAACTGCCACTAAATTCCGTCATACTCATTACTCTTATGACCGGGAGAAAATGCAGTCTGGAGGGGTATGAAGTAAGGAACCAAAGGCAAGAAGGTTTTGAAAATGCAACCTAGCCATCCCACGGCTTTCCTTCTTTTTCTTCCCAACAAGGGATTAAATTATTAAACACATATGTGAGATCTTTCTCCATTCCACTTTAAGGTTACTCCTCATATACCTTTTCTCCATTGGCTTAGGTCCGCGCATAATCAGGTTCACAGGTGCTTACAATTCTTGCTCTATGCAAACAGGGAAACTATTCTTTCCCTGTGTTCATCAAATTGGGATGAGGGATGAAGTTGCCTGGGTTCTTGAGAATACACCAGTGCCTGAGTAGCAGTCTTGGGGTGCCTGGCTTAATCAAGCTGGAGTGTGACCTAGCTTAGTCTGACCTGAAACTAAAGTGAGAACCACTGTCTCAAGAGTTTTGCTTTTGAAGCTATGGAAAATATCCTTGATCTTAATAAAGATTCCCCAGAGGGGAGCAAGTAAACAGACTTTGAACTGTATAAATACTGCTTAATGCTCTTGCAGGTGTCCAGATGCATCCTTTTATTAGCGAGCTTTGTAGTACTTGTGAGTACAGATAATTGAATATGTGTAGCAAGGACTTAGGAAGAGGACAGGCACTAAAATCATTGCTTATCTTACATGGTCCAGGCATGGTGACTTTTGTTCATTCTAGATTCTTTATTTTAGAGAAATTTGAGGGTCATATCAAAATTGAAATGCAAAGTAGATTTCCAATCTGTCTCTTAACAGCACACTTGCATCACCTTCATGATCAGCACCTCCACTAGAGTGGCACCCTTGTCACAGCCCAGTCTAAATTAACACATCATCACCCAAAATTGGCAGCTTATAATAGGGGGTTATTCTTGGTGTCGTGTTCTCATGGCATTTTCTTCTGAACTGTGTTGCAAGTTCTCAGCACAGCTACATCAGGAGTTGGGCTATGACACTTATCATCAAACAAGCAGTTGGGAAGATGAATGGTCACACAGAAGAATTTATTTTTTCATGACTACATTAAGGGGAGATAAATGGCCAGAAGCTTTTCTGAGGCTCAGGTGTCTGTAAATACAAATCCCATCCTGGAGCAATGCTCTGCACCTGCCAAGATGAGAAAGGGCTTTGTAGCAAAAGGTGATAGAGGACTTTCCCAGAGCAAATATAGACCTGGTTTTATATTTTGTGTTCCACTTGCAAATTTAACTACTTTATTAGTTCTAACATGTGTCAGACAATGATACTCTAGGAGAAATGAGTTTCAGTTAGGGTTTTGATAGACGAAATGTAGAGAGATGTGTTTGTTTCCAGATAGATGTTGCTGGAGATGAATTCTTAGATGCTGTAGAGGAAAAGAGGCACTGAAGTCAGTGAAGACGAATCTGTGCAGGAAAGGAGAGCACAGTAAGGTGGTTTGTAGGATATCTGTTTTTTTCCTTTTACATTTTTCTAGTTGCGATTTTGTTTGTATTATGAAAGGTGGTTTTTGTGGACTGCAGGCATTTTGGAGTGCTACCCCACACTGCCTGTTAGAACTGTTTGATGAGTAGGAGGAGTGATTGAGGCCATCTTTCTAACTGGAAATGACTGGCTGGTACTGTTCTTCAGCATGTCAGTGTCATCAGCAACCACCCTGGTCCTCAGAGGTTGCTGTGACTTGTTGATGTTCACTAACATCTTCTGATGCCTGTGCAATAGTGAGGGCTCTTGTATATAGCAATGGTTTCACTTTATAGGGATTAAATATTGAATCTTATGTTTACATATGTGTGAATTATTTATTTTAGTAAATCATAATCTGCTTATCACCAGTACTATGTAGGCAACCCTAGACAAAGAATTGTAGGCAGGTAAGGGATGCTAGAAGCAGGAGAAATAGCCCTCCCTAGGGAATAATCCTCAGTTACTTATACAATATCAAATGGTCATCCCTGAAAACATACAGACGAGTAGCATTATACACAATGAGCTGGTTATATTTATATATTTAGTAATATATATGCATATGTATGCAACAACAGTTAAAGAAATAGAGGTCATGAATTTGAGAGAGTGAGGGGTATACATAGGAATGTTTTGGAGAGAGGAAAGGGAAATGATAAAGCTTAATTTCAAAAACTAAAACAAGAAACAAAACAAGCATACAGCAAAATGACTAAAAAATAATTCTCTAATTTGGCTGTTGGATCTAATTTTAATTATAGAAGTCGTAGGTGTTGGACTACGTGCCAATGAGAGCTATGACCGTACTCTACTAATCTGCAAAGGGAAAGAAATCCTGAAGCTACAATTCTAGCCTGAACTTCAATAGGATCAAGGTCTTTAAATTCTGTCTGTGAGAGCAATCATGTGATGTTTGAAAAATACTGCTTTTTAACTGAAGCAACCGTAAAGATAATTCAGTCAGAACATGCCTTCTTTTTCCAGAGCAGATGCTTGAAATAAGCCATGGGTTAGGGCCATTTGTGGGCCCTCCTCGTTGGTGGCACATGTTCAGTGCCTAGGGCACCTTTGGAGGTCACTCCCACCCCACCACTGGTGTCTATTTCGAATGTATCTTTAAAAGCAGCTACCATTGATCATTTTCCACATCAATAATACCTGTTGATCAAATATTTACTAAGATGCAAGTATCTGTGGGGTAGTTTAAGTGAAAGGAGCCTTCGCAGTTAAATGATATAACCTGGTTTCATCAGCTTGGGTTCATGCTTCCAAGTGTGATGAGTAACTCTTGCCTATTAGATGCACAAGGGTTTTGTATGTACATGGCATGTGTTTAACCATTATTTTAATGATTCATTCTCATTTTTTAGTATGTGCTGTAGGCATGACTCTTGTACTAAAGAATAATTTAGACTTAATCCTTATTCTAGGGGCGTTTACATTCTAGAGAGAATAGCGAGAAAAAAAAATAATGACCTCATAATTTCCTAAAAGAAAATGATCTGTCTATGTAGTAAATAACATGTAAGTAGCACACATTGTCGGGAAGACAACCAAAGAAAGGAACCTCTGTGTAAATATTTTTGAAATGACTTTTCAACTGAAACTTCTGTGAGAAAATCTACAAAGATTAAACAGCTTCCCCACCCCCAACACATACTTCTTATCTGCAAGAAAATGTTTATGATTGTTAGTTCAGTATCTGTGATCCCCTCGAACCAGAATAGTTTGTTCCGTGGCTTTTCTTGTAGTGTTTTTGACCCCTTTGGCCTTTATAATCCTTCTTTCCCCTTTTCTGCTGAATTTCTCAAGCTCGGCCTAATGTTTGGCTATGAGTCTGGTCTGCATCTGTTTCCATCAGCTGCTCGATAAAGCCTGTTTGATGACAACTGGCCTAGGCTATAAATCTACAAGTGTGGCAGAATATTCTTAGGCATCATTACATTGCTTTTTTTTTTTTTTTTTTTTTTTTTTTGGCGAGTTGGGTTTGGTTCTGTCCTAGGTCTTTGTGCATCCCGCCTCTGGGTCCTGACCTTCCAGGCAGTTTCAGGGATGGGCTCCTTCTTGTGTCTTGGGTCTCAGGCTGGACCAATCATTGATGAGCCACTCAATTTCTGTGCCCCTCCCCACCAGCACATCTTGTAGGCAGGGCAAATAGTAGATGGAAGGTTATATGGCTGGTGCCTGCATGGGGCTCACCTCGGCCCTTTGCAAACAGGCTGCTGTTATATAACTAGGTTTTCTTGTGGAACTGTTAACAGAGGGAGCAGGAGCTGTCTCTGAATTTTTTTTGCTGGCTTTTAGGAACCTATTCCTCATACTTATGTGGGATGTCCTTCTGTATATATGTTGCTTTCATTGGGTAATGAATAAAGCTGTTTCAGCCAATAGCTTAGGCATATTCCTGGCTGACTCTTATAGTAGGAGTCTGCTCATTCGTTTCCTGGCCACCCAGACCCGAATAACCACACAGAAACTATATTAACTACAACATTGTTTGGTCAATGGCTTAGGTGTATTCCCCACTAGCTCTTACATCTTAAATTAACCCATTTCTAGCAAACTGTGTATCACCACGAGGCTGTGGCTTACTGGTAAGGTTCTTAACATTCTGGTCTGTCCTTCTCCTTAGGCAGCTACATGGCAGCTCTCTGACTCCTCCTACTTTCTCTCTTATATTTCTGATCAGATTTCTAGCCTGGCTTTGCTCTGTTAAGTCATTGACCAAAAGAGATTTATTCATTAACCAATAAGATCAACTCATATGCAGAAAGACATCTGACATCATCATACTGGGTTGGTGTGCCCAGCTTTAATACTAGGGAGGTACCTAGGCTTACTGCAACTTTGATACACCATGTTTCAAAGTTAATACCTATACAAGGCCTGCCCTTTTCTCAATAGAAACAGAATAGGAGTGGTTGGGTGAGTGGAGAGGGGGAAGTGAGGGGGGACTGGGATGAGAGGAAAGAGGAAACTGCTGTTGGCATGGAATAAAAAAGTAATAAAATAATCATTATTTTAAAAATAAAAAAATAAAATTCAAGATCACCTTTAAAGAAAAGGAAAGGTTTTTTTTTGTTTCTCTTTATTTTTAAGGAGCTGGAGTGATGGATCAGCAGTTAAGAGCACTTATTGCTTTACATGGAACCCACATTCAGTTCTACAACATCTGTATGGTGCCCCCAAAATATTTGTAACTCCAGTTCCAGGGGACTCAACTCCTTCTCACCACCATGGGCACCAGGCACACACACGGTGCACATGCATACATGCAGGCAAAACACTCATACACATAAAATAAAATCAATAAATTCAAAAATTAAAAAATAAAAAAGTTTACCAGATTTAATAGATAACTATAGAAGATTTATACTAAACTCAGAGTTTCATGACATACCACCTACTAAAGATTTTTAATATTTTGTTTTCTAAGACAATGGTGATGATTTTTGAGGAATACTTCACATAAACATGTAGGCATATCAAAGAGTTCCACAATTGTCTGGAATAGAGTATAACAAAGGTTTATTTTATTTGGGCATAAACTCACAGTAAGGGTAGCGATCTGCAGTCCTCTATGTGTGCAGGAAGCTAGGAACTGAACCCATCATAAAAGAGGGCAGCACACACTTTTTGTCTATATTTATAGTACCTCAGACCATGCCCAAAATGGGCTGGTGTCTGAAAGACTTTTGACCAAAGGAGTTCCCACAACATAAACACTAAAGCAAGATTGATGTAGATGATTACTCCGTTCTCTTGCATGGTCTTCATTTACCTTTGCAATTTTTGTTCACATTTCAATGATGCTGTTAATCATGGTGAGCAGATGGTCCTAGTAACTCACAGCACCTGAGTCACATTTAGACGTATTTTATTATCAACTTTTACAGACCCACCTAAGTAGTTAATATTTTTAAGACAAGCTGGTATTTGTTAAATTCAATAGGGAGATTCAAAATGTTTAGTTATTTCCTAGAAATAGATTCTAACTTTTTGTCATTGTTGTTGTTAATTCTTTTGTCTGAGTCGTGGGTGTGAGGGACTTGTTAATATGGAAAAATACAACATACGTGCCACCCTAAAAGTGAACAGTTTGGCTCCTCTGAAAACCCCCAACACCAGGCCAACTGTCCGAGCTGGACAAATCACACTGCCAGTCAGATTTGCTTGTTTATTCTATTTAGAATTTTGTGTTTGACAAAAAATAGCTAGTCTATCGACTCATTGTTTTGATAGACTGCTCAGTAATGAACCATTAATGTCTGCGTTGTTCTGCTTCCAGTACTACCTCACTGTATCTGGACTTCTGAAATCAAAGGTACTGGGATTAACATATAACTCAACAGTCATAGTGCTGGCAATAACAGGATTCTCTCTGTGATTTTGTTGACTTTGGTCACCTCTGGCAGATACGGATGTCATTGAGTGCTCCTTGCAGTTTCCTGATGATGACTATTCCTGGTGGGACCTCTTCATGAAGATCTGTGTTTTCATCTTTGCCTTTGTGATCCCGGTCCTCATCATCATAGTCTGCTACACCCTGATGATCCTGCGCCTGAAGAGCGTCCGACTCCTCTCTGGCTCCCGAGAGAAGGACCGCAATCTCCGCAGGATCACCAAGCTGGTGCTGGTGGTGGTGGCAGTCTTCATCATCTGTTGGACCCCCATTCACATTTTCATCCTGGTGGAGGCTCTGGGCAGCACCTCCCACAGCACAGCCGCCCTCTCCAGCTACTACTTCTGCATTGCTTTGGGCTATACCAACAGCAGCCTGAATCCTGTCCTTTATGCCTTCCTTGATGAAAACTTCAAGCGGTGTTTTAGGGACTTCTGCTTCCCCATGAAGGTGCGAATGGAGCGACAGAGCACCAACAGAGTTAGAAACACAGTTCAGGATCCTGCTTCTGCGAGGGATGTGGATGGGATGAATAAGCCTGTATGACTAGTTGTGGAGATGTCTTCTTACAGCTCTCTAGGTAGAGAGGAGTTCAATGATCTTGGTTTAACCCAGATTACCACTGCAGTCTAAAATGGAAAGATGAGGTATTTGATAACGAAGACATCTCATGATCTAAAGTCTTAAAGTCCAGGGTGCAGTAGTGATCTAGCTGAACAGGGACAACAAGTCTGAAGAACAGAGCACAGGAGGTCCTGGCAACGATAATCCCATGGCAGTGAAGCCAGTCTAATCCCAACCCATTCATAAACAAAGATAAGTCTCTTCTGGTTCCTTTGGTTTAGTTCACCTCCAGCTGTGTGACCTTCTTATGCGACTTAGTTCCAAAGCTATGGAGAAGAAAATAAAGGAAAAAGCAAAGCAAACTAAATCATTGGATCCAAAAGCTTAGTGGACATCAAAACTACCTGTTAGCACTGGCAGAAACAACCAGTTAGAGTGGGAGCCTGTCAAAGGACATACCCAGTTCATACTCTGCTGGGTGGACATGTCTCAAGGGTGGAAAGAATGCTTCTTAGGAAGAACTTGAACTCAGACCCAGGCATAATGGTAGAGAGCGTCACGCTGACATTTGTGAACTTGTTTAAATCTGTGAATGCTCTTCTCAGAATGTTTAATGCCTTGAAAGCTACAGTTTGCTGCTTACGATCTCTGGGTTTTAGCACGCTATTCAGGTAGGTAATCTGAGAAAAGATGTTATAAAGTTAAGTATGAAGCTTATATATGAACAAAGTGTGTATAGTTTCATCTGTAAATAGTCTATGTGTAAATAAGAAACAGGCTTCCTGTCCAGCCAGGCAGCCAGGACAATTCTTAAGGGGGCAGCAGTGATTCCCCCGGAAGCACGGAGAATGGATGCTGAGCTATTATGCTGCAATGTACGTTTCTCTGGGACTCAGTCATGTTGTAATTTCTTCTGAATTCCTCCAGCATCGTTTGCTCTATCACTGCTCTTATATTGGTGTTAATAAATCCCCTGACTTTGAATTCACTCTAAGATTTTAGTTTTGGTCAGATCTACTTTGTGATAACGTCTATTTGTAAACACACATCTATTGCCGGAGTCTCTCCTCAAGTAGAGCAAATTGTTTGGATAATGCGAATCTTTCGATATGTTCTGACTTTCCCCAGTGTATGCTGAAGAAGGAAATGAGGCTTGAGGTGGCTGAGCACAGCTTGCATGGCCATGGGTAAGGGTGTACCTGTGGAGGCTATTGTCTAAGAAACCTATTCAGGATAATTTTGCTATGTCTTCCAAATGACATATAAATTTCCCCTTCTTTAAAACTTATGGTTCAGAGATAATGAAATTTTTTTTTTGTAATTTGATTTGAAAGAAGAAGCAAAGGATAATTTAGAAATAACAGCTATTTCTAAGCTTGTACATGGTTAGGGCCAGCACCCCTTAGAGTCTAATGGAGCATCTAATGTGTGGACCTGAGGACTGTAGGCACGGTTCCATCTCTGAGTTCTAACCGCCAGCTGTTTCACTGCTGCTGTTCCCTCTCTTCCTGGAGACCAAGGCTTGCATAAAGGCATGACACTCTCTGCAGAGTCACTGCCATTATATTTATCTCCATTCGGGACTTTTATACTACTGAATTCAATGGCGACATTTTTAAGGGAACTGAAGTGCTCTCATGAGGACTTCTTTTTTTTTCTTTTTTTTTCTTTTTTTATTGAGAAAAGGAGAAGAAAAAAAAAACAAGTTTCCACCTCCTCCCAGCCTCCCATTTCCCTCCCCCTCCTCCCACCCTACGCCGCCCCCTCCTCCCACCCTTCTCCCCCTCCCCCCACTCCTTTCCCCCTCCCTCTCCAGTCCAAAGAGCAGTCAGGGTTTTCTGCCCTGTGGTAAGACCTAGGACCTCCCACCTCCGTCCATATCTAGGAAGGTGAACATCCAAACTGGCTAGGCTCCCACAAAGCCATCACATTACGTAGGATCAAACCCCCGTGCCATTGTCCTTTGCGTCTCATCAGCCCTCATTGTTCGCCATGTTCAGAGAGTCCAGTTTTATCCCATGCTTTCTCAGTCACAGTCCAGCTGGTCTTGGTGAGCTCTCAATAGAACAGCTCCACTGTCTCAGTGGGTGGGTGCACGCCTCGTGGTCCCGACTTCTTTGCTCATGTTCTCCCTCCTTCTGCTCCTCATTGGGACCTTGGGAGCTCAGTCCAGTGCTCCAGTGTGGGTCTCTGTCTCTATCTCCATCCATCACCAGATGAAGGTTCTATGATGATATGCAAGATATTCGTCAGTATTGCTCTAGGATAGGGTCATTTCAGGTTCCCTATCCTCAACTGCTCAAGGAACTAACTGGGGACCTCAGCTTGGGCACCTGGGAGCCCCTCTAGGGTCAGATCTCTTGCCAACCCTAAAGTGGCTCCCTTAACTAAGAATTGTGGTTCCGTGCTCCCCTGTCCAACCTTCCTTTATCCCAATCCTCATGAGGACTTCTTAAATTTCACTGAATGCCTAGATGCCCTGGAATTCGTTTTTAATAACACAAATCTGGAATTTATTAAGAAAATATATTAATGTAGATTTAAGCGTGGAAGTTAACAGCAGAAGAGAGACACGTAAAAGGAAGGGAAGGTCGTAGAGTGGGCACAAACTTCTTTGAAAACTGTTATCATTAAAATGATGATGATGATGATGATGATGATAGTGTGCGTGTGCATAATGGGATGCATATAGAGGTCAGAGATAATTTCCCACAATTAGCTCTCTCTTTTTTTCTTTTATAAGGGTTCTGGGAATGGGAACTCAGGCTTACATTGTCAGGTATCATGTGTGTTTACTCACTGAGTTATCTTGCCAGTCCAAGGCACATCTTTCTTAAAGAATCATTGCCCTTCCATTCTTATAACTGAATATATAAATAAGAATGACTTTATTATTGGGTGACATTAGCATTGGTTGTTATTTTAATGGGACATGTATGTGAACAAAGAAGTTCCAGGAACAAATACTGGAACTGAAGTAGGCAATAGAAATTCTTCTACAGCCCAGAAGGAGCAGGGGCTGTAGGAAGATTCTGCCCAGTACAAAATGCAATGTAGTTACCACATCACCATGAAATGGAGTTATAATAGTGACCTCTTTAAATTAACACTCCATATGCTCTCCTAATATCTGATTCCTGCATTTCTTGATCCCATGGATGGGAGATAAGTATTAGCTGCCCTTGAGGTGTATTCTGAGCTTCTCCAAGATTCTTGAATTGAAAGTGAAAAGCAGATGACAGCCCCTTGACTCACACACAGGAAGTAAAGTATCAATTACATATACGTGATTTATTGTTGAAGTATGAACATGTGTACAGACACATGATCATATATGTGAAAGAGAGCAGGTGCACACATGTGTGTGCACATCTGCATGATGCTAAGGAGCAGTGGTCATACTCCCATGCTCGATTGTTTCATACAGTGATTTTGTCTAACCATGACCCTTAAGTGACTCTCCCTCTCCGTGGTTCCCAGAAGGCTCTTCCATCTTACAAAGAAGGTGTTGTTTGATATGTCTGTGACCTCGAAATCAACTCTGCTTGGACTCTATCTTCCCACTCTAGCGGCAATTTCCGAATCAAAACTTGTTTCGAGAGAAATCAAAAATTTTTGGAAAAAGGGTTTAATTTTGTGAATGATGTGTTAGATAGTGGTGAATTTGTATCCAACAATATATAGATATTTCATTTGATATATAAGATGTACAAAATGAGGAGTACGTTGGCTGGTTTTAAAGGAAAGAATTTAGAGAAAAACCTATGACAAGATTGTATATTCCTTCTGCAAGATTTGTTTTTCAAGCAAGAGTTGTTTTGATGGCATGGTGTCAATATGAAAGTCCTACATGGTCACAAACTGGATCAGGTCATGACAATTTTCCTCTTTGAAGGAAAGGTGTGTTCCTTATAGATATTATTTATATCTTATACTGTTAGACAGTGATTACACATTGTACATATGATTGTGTGCCTTGCAATAAAACCAAAATTGTACCTGATAAAAATTATAATGCTCTGCTGGTAAGTCATTTGTTCTTCAGAGACTTCCGTGAAGCCTCACAGTCTCAAGATAAGGTCAACCGCTTCTCAGAAATCTATGTGTCACTAACTCCCCACCCATCAGAATGTGGCCGATGATCAATGGAACAGAACAAAGCAAATAATCTGATTTTATCATCACACTCTCAACATCCCAGAATCAATGTAAAGTAGTGCCTTTCTAACAAAATTTAAAATATGAAAACATGCAAAATCCAAAATTAAGCATTCTGGAAAAAAATAATTTAAATCAACTCCAACCTGCAAATGCATTCGGTTTCCTGCCCTCTGTCAGCATAACACATCGCTACTTCAGACTAATTCCTGACTACATATTAGTTCACCTGAGCAGAAAGAAATTTTAAAATCACTGCTAGTTTTTGAGACAGAGTTTTATGTAGCCCAGGGTAGGTTTGAACTCCCTTTAGAGGTGGAGATGACCTTGAACTTCTGATCATCTTGTCTGTACCTCTGTGGTGCTGGGATTATAAGCCTGTGCCAATATACCCAATTGTCTGTGATGCTGAAGACCGAACATAGGGTTTCTTGCATGGTGTACAAGCACCCTGCCAACTGAGCTTCATGCCCAGCCCTAAAGTCAGTGTCTGGAGAAAACACTTCATGAACACATGCAGACATGGATTTTCATGAATGTTTTAAGACCAGTAACGCTGACAGTGAATAATAACCATCTCATTTGGGTAAGTCAGATGAGTCACTATCATTGAAGTCATTATTATAATCATGGACTGTAATACATGAGCTTACTATGTAACCCAGTCTAGTTTAGTTTTCCTAAGAACTACAGATACACATAAGTCACTTATCTCATTAGCCAGCAGTTATTATTTTAAGTGCCTCCAAAATATTGGAATAACTGTTATGTTTTCATTTTTTAGTAATTTAGTATGCATAATACTATGCACACAGCAATTTAAAAATATATCTAGGCAGATTATAGCATTTCTTTTAGAAAAGAACCTAAATAGTTTGTGCATGTGTATATTATAGTATATTGTGTATGTGCATATGTATAGTATATGTACATGTATACCATGTGTACAAAATATGTTTAGTGCCTGGTTCATGCCACTCTTACAATCTACTACATTTTCTTGCTTATTTGCTAGATATTCATAGATTATATGTATCAGAAAAATATCTATTTTACTTCTGTTTGTACAGACTCCAGCATAGTTCCTGATGCATATAAATATTCTATCAAGAACACTATCTAAGAAAATCAATTAGACTCTTTGGTGGCTTGATTTACATTAGTGCCCAGTCTCTACACATGGAGAGACCATTGGCAAGAGTCAATACAAAGAGCTCAAACTGTGTACAATCCATTGTTCCCTCTCCAGATGTAGTAATATTTTCCTTAGAAAACAAGCACCCAGTCGCATTCCCCACAGAGAGACATGTGCAGAATGTATATCATCATGAAAAAAGAATTATGTTTCAAAGGAAAAGTTATCCATACCCCATTTCCTTAGATTTTTTTTCTCTAAAATTGGCCCCTGTTTTTTTAAAAAGGCTAAAGAATCTACCAAAATGGATACGGGAAGTTTACACTTTAAATTCTAATTATTTATAAAATTGAATTGTTTGTCACAGCTAAACATTAATAACAAATGATTCAGTGAGAATTAAGAATCCTTGTATTCATAAAACAAAATAAGAACTTTTTAAAGATGATCTTTTTTTGTTGTTGTTGTTGTTGTTGTTTTTTTTTTTTTGGTTTTTCGAGACAGGGTTTCTTTTTAAACTAGATGAGATTTTTCCATAGCCCATCTTCATTGCAGTGTTCTGCCTTGATGAATACTCTGATACAAAATAACCTTCCCAAAGGCTTCTACATCACAAGAGCAGCCCCAGTGTATATTACAGGAAGTTGTTAAAGACACAGAGCCCAGAAAAACTACATCCTGGTTGTAGGTTGCAGGGGGAACCAAGCAAACAGTTTAACAAAAACCAAGAACATGCAGTTAGCTCGTGAATTTCAACCCTGAGTTTCTAGAACAGGGTATGGGACCTTCCCAGGGGACGTTGGAGGGCAAGAGGTAGAAAGCAAAGTCAGCTTCAGCTGAGACAAGATGCAGAAACTTTTACCCTGTAACAACCAAGTTTTCTGGAATAGGGCCTTTACCCTGTTACAACCAAGCTTTCTGGAATAGTAACTGGATTGTAGACAGAAGGCAGGAAGGTTTCACTCAAATTTCCCAGTTCACCTACCCACAGTACATGTTCAAAAACCTCTTTGTGATAAAAAGAATGATCCCAAAGAGTTGCTTGAGAACTTCATTAGCTCACTCATTCACATCCCCTTGAAGGAACAGTAGTATGTAAATGCTGAGGTTTCTAAGAAACTCAATTGGAAGAGCAGATGGTAAACGTTATGTGTGGTAAATAGCAATGTAAAAAAAAATTCTGGCAACAATGAAAATAAAAAGTGATTATTTTGGGAACCTGAGAAATTTGAATTTGGGACCAATTTAATTCACTGGCTTTAGGGCACCAGACATGACAGTTTAGCTTCAGGTGTGTGTGTGTGTGTGTGTGTGTGTAAGGATAAAAACACTTTATTATGCTGTTATCAAATGAATTGTTGGATGTTTTAGTTTAGAATTCAGAAAGACAATTTGTATGCATGTATGTATGTTTATTTTTCTTGGTACTCTGATCAGATG